GAGGAGGGGGCGAGGCCCCCCCCCCCCCGGCTGCCGGCGGAGAACCGCTCCTCCTGCCCCCATCCCGAATCCCACCGCCAGCTCACGTCCACATCCCACTGCCCGCTCCTGTCCACAGCCCGCTCACATCCCTGCCCTGCATCCCGCTTGTGTTCACATCCATGCCCGCTTCCTCGCATTCGTGTCCCCCATCCTGCTGCTCGCTCATGCCCGCATCCCGCATCCCACTCACATCCATATCCCGCACCCACTGGTCCTTGCAACTGCATCCCATGTCCCGCTGCCCACTTGCAGCTGCATCCCCGCTCCTGTCCACAGCCCGCTCACATCCCTGCCCTGCATCCCGCTTGTGTTCACATCCATGCCCGCTTCCTCGCATTCGTGTCCCCCATCCTGCTGCTCGCTCATGCCCGCATCCCGCATCCCACTCACATCCATATCCCGCACCCACTGGTCCTTGCAACTGCATCCCATGTCCCGCTGCCCACTTGCAGCTGCATCCCACTTCCCCTTCACATCCACATCCCACATCCCGCTGCCCGCTCAGATCTACGTCTGCATCCACATCCACATCCCGCATCCCGCATCCCACATCCCGCATCCCGCATCCCACCTCAGCATCAGTGCCCGAGCGCCCTTCTCAGGGACAGTTTGTACGTTTTACAGAGCTCCACAGGGCGAGCACGAAGAGAAGGAGGCCTTTCAGTTGGCAACGATTAAATGTTTCATGATTTAGGGGTTTATTCTATTAGTGATAGGAGAGCCCTGATGTGATAATCTCCAATTAACAGGAAGCCACATCCTGCATCCCCCACCCCACCCCCTGCATCCCACTGCCTGCATCCCACTGCCCGCTGACATCCACATCCCACATCCCGCTGCCTGCTCACATCCACATCCACATCCTGCATCCCACATCCCACATCCCGCATCCCACTGCCCGCCCACATCCACATCTTGCATCCTGCATCCCACATCCCGCTGCCCGCTCACATCCACATCCTGCATCCCGCATCCCACATCCTGCATCCCGCTGCCCGTTCACATCCACATCCCGCATCCTGCTGCCTGCTCACATCCACATCCCGCATCCAGCTGCCCGCTCGCATCCACGTCCTGCATCCCGCATCCCACATCCCGCTGCCCGCTCGCATCCACGTCCCGCATCCCACCACCGCAGAGCAGAGGGGGACGAGGGGAGGACACCCCAGCCCGTGCCTGTGGGCAAACGCATCTCTAGGTCCCCAAGGGCCACCAGTCGCCCCCAGCCCCACAACTTCTGTCCCCTCTGCCAGCTGTGCCGGAGCTGCAGGGCCCGGCCGGCGTCCCCAGGGCCACAGGGAGGGGACGTGCGTCCCCGCTGCTCGGAACGGGGTCACCTCGTTTCACACCGTCGCCGTTTTGGCTTGGGTTTCTTTGTCCCCAGGCATGGCATGAGCGAAGCCCCCACCTCGTCCCCGGCCTCCTGCCCGCCATCCCCGTGTCCCCGTGCCATAGCGGGCACCAGGAGCACCCTCAGCACAGGGGACCCTCGTGTCCCCGAGCACCACGGGAGCCCGGAGACATTTGACAGCCTCCAAACCTGCCTGCCCGCAAGCCACATCCGAGGGCAGAGATGATGGATGGAGGCAGATACTGGGATGGGACACGCAAAGGTGACAGTGATGAGGATGATCTACGGGTTGGCTGCGTCCCCTGCGATGCCACCCCCGCTGATAGCCTCTGGGGACAGCAAAGCCTCTCTCTCAGCAGCCCTGTCCCCAGGTCCTGCTGGCACGGGGACGGCGGTACGCGGGGACATTCCGGAGAAGAGCTATTTTGCTCCTGGCGGGGACACGTCACCCCCATCCCAATGTGGTCCCCGGGAGCACCCGGCACCATGGCCATGGGATGTGATGCCGGGTGGCTGCTGTCAGAGGATGGGTCCTGGCCAAAGCCGGCAGGAGCTGGCATGGGGACAGCCAGGGTGTCCCAGTGGCAC